CAGTGTAAGCGTTCAAGCAACCCACTTCTGAAGATGCAAGCCACTCGTGCTTGCGAAACGTCAGGAAGAAATTCTACCGAACGACGGCCTAAAAATCCATTAGTTTCAAGAAATGGCCTCGAAAGTCTATCTCTTCCCATAAGAATATGTTTTACATTCAACCTTAGAGCAGCCAACTATCACAATTTTGAAAATTTTTAATCAACGCTTTAATTGAAATTCTATTCAACCATCGCAGTGGTTTTTTCTGACTTCGTGCCAGTCAATCAATGGGGAAAATGTTTTGAAATTCCTGTTTGCCGCCTGACAATGGGGCTGAAAACCTAGTTAATAGTACAATCTTATTTATTCGTTCGTTACTCATAAATATTTCTATACAAAACGCGATAACGATCGAGAGCCGATTATCTGCATTTAGAGATCGGTGCACGCTTTCGATCTTTTCGATTCAAACTGGAGAAATTGGATTTTGGGATTTTTTCATTTGCGAACCAGAGGCGGGTTGTTCGGGGGCCACCCAAACAACACAGCTTTAGGGCTTTTGCCCTAAGCAATCCGCACTAGTCTGAACTAACTCTGAATAAAATTGCTGGATCCTTCTCTGGACGAACTTTTGATTAAAATAACATAATCAATTTACTGAGAAATCTTTGGCGCAATAAACTTATTTATACATAAGAATTGTGAATGATACCGATTTACGTATCGGTTTGAAAACGAGTCCAGTTCGTGGACTGGCGTTCGAAGATAAACATAAAAAAGAATTTCTAGCGGGCAAAATGGTGCTGGTGTTGAACGGGGTCCTGCAGGAAGACTGTCCGCCCGATAGCCGGGCGCTCTACTTGAACCACCCGGTATACCGAGACACGGCGGCTCAATTACTATCAGTGCCCAACAAAGTTATTGGCCCGGTGGGCCTGCTTTATGTCCTGCAAAGAGAACTGGCCGTCACCGTGCCTCATGATAGTAAGAATATCGAACTGTTCCTACTAACTGCGAACTAATGGCCCTTTTTTAGAGAATGTGAACGTTCTCGGCTCAGATGATGTAACCACTTGCTTGATTGTAGTCGTCAGACACTCGGGTAAGTAAGGAGAGTGCATAAGTTGGCAGAAATAAGGATTTTGAACCTTCAGGCTCAGGTGCAGTCGCTCTGGCTCATCTGGATGGTTCCGGGATCGACGAAGCGGTCTGCACGATGATCCAACGCGTCCAGGACTTGGCTTTAGGATACCAGGAAGGACGGATCGAGGTGCAGCTGGTTGGAGGCTTTACCGATGCACACAGTTACTCGGAGGACATATTCTTCTCCATTATGAGTAAGTGGGTGCAACGCAAACAACCAGTTCTAATCAAATCGGTTTATTCAGGTTCCTTTCACAAACATCCCGTGGAAATTGACTTAACTCTAGCCTGTCTGGGCGAGCTAAACACCACGCTTAGGGGCGGGATCCCGTGGCCAATCATATACGGAATTGGGATAAACACTAAGACCGGCGACATTTTCCCAGCCACTTTTCCCGATAAAGGGCCCGGCC